ATTGTTCTGTCAGGAACTTTCTCCTTAGTTCTAGGTTGCTTCTCTCCTTGAATTCTCTTCATGTACTATTGCCCCACTACATAGTTTTTCTTCTCAGCCCTTACTTTAAGAATCTTTTGTTTCTTAAAAGCCTTCTATATAAAACCAAAACCACAAAAATTTCATCCTACTTCTCTTTCCTCAGAATCTGAGCAGAAATAAGAGAATATTTAATAAAGTATATTGAGAAATAATCCCAGTTTGCCCCATGGCTTTGAGAATTAGTTGTCATAGTAAACAAGAAATTAATATACATTTATTATACAGCTTTCTGGAAAGTGCTCTTAAGCTCATTTGTTAACAAGTTCAGTTAAAAGAGCAATCTCTTCTCTTAACTCACCCATCCACCCTTTAGAAAAATCTTTTTAAAGTCTGTTTTTTAAATTCCAGAATTATAGACATGGGGCTGCAATCTTACATCTACTTACTTAGGAATAAATCACGACTCTAACAGGATTTACCAATGAAAAGATATATTCAACATCAGCATTAAATTCCTCAATACAAAAATCCAAATGCTTACTGTCAAGTTTTGTAAACTTCAGTGACAAATAATATGGAATGAAGTGAAGACTGAATCTAAATAATGCAGATCCCCTCTACATTTTTAAAATTAAATAGTATGAAAAAGAATACTTCATGTGAACAGCATTTTAACTGCAACATTAAAGATAATAATACAGTCCCGAACTAGAGGAAATACCCGGAATATACTTCCAGCATTAGTGTACATAAAATATACAGTATTAAGTATTTCTTAATAATGGGTTTAGATTAAACATTACAAAATGAAGTGGATCTACATCAATTGGGACCAATACATTTTAATCTACTTAAGAAAGTCTGAAACTGTTTAAATCTAAAAAAACTACCTTGAAAGCTAATTAGCTTACTGACTGTTCAAATTAACTGAACTTTTATTAGTTTTAAAAGCTACTGTACAATATCTTTTCAAAAACCAATAAAGAAAAGCTTTGCAAACAAACACAACCACCTCACTCAATCAAACTTGAGCTCTTACTGAGAATGTTTTTTTCCACCACCAAGCTAAAGGATTGCTTGATCATTTTTGTTTAGATTGTCTTGCAAGTTTTACTAAAGACAAAGGAATACTGGCTATGTCCCCAGTCCCCTCCCTCACAGTTTCAAACTGTAGAACAATTTCTCTCACAGTGGCAGAAAATGTAACATGCTTAAGTCTTCTCTCCCTATACACGCATTAAATTGTAAAAATCAAAAAAAGAAAAGTCACTTACCCTCTTTAGCCACGTGAAGTGTTTGTAAATATTAATCTCACTATCCATGCTTCGGGCCCATTGCAAAGATCTTCCCTCCGTTTGTAGCAATTTCAGCTTAGTTATGGAAAAGCACAAACTCTCCTTTACTCCCTTCTAGCTTGCAGAATGTCTGCACCTCTCTGACTTTAATATGTCCTTCAGGCTGACTCTAAACTTTTCTATGGTACTGTGTTTATACACAACTGCATAAACTTCAGGCTGCATTCCCCACCTCCCCTACTAGCAGCATCTGGCTTTTTTTAAAGAGGAGATCAGTCATCAACTGGCTCTCATATCGTTCTAAAAACATCAAAAGATACCTAAAGCCAAGTAGACTCAGAAAGAAAAGGAAAAGAGGGAAGCTCCCATAAGCGCAATTGAAGTCTGCAGCGAGAGTGTTCTCGTTTTGATGGTAAAGTAACAAGCTAAAAATTGCCAGGCTGTCACAGAGAAACTATTTTCAAGTAATGCCTTCTCTAGCTTTCTGTTTCAAGAGTGGCTGGAACTCATTACCCCTCAAGACCCTCTATTTCCTGTCTCAGTTTTTACACTGTGTTTATCGGAACAGTCTTCAGAGTCCCAGTTTATTTCAGGCTAGCTTTAGCCTAAAAATAAGCCCTTGCTCTTGAGAATTGTTAGTAGCTCCTTTCTCACAAATACTTGGAAAGTGACTTTGTCTGTGTAATGCCAAATATTCCACACTTGGTTGTTGTTTTTAAGTGTGGGGGATGAATGAGCATATCTCAAATTCATAACTCAACATTCTTTTCATTCACTGCTGCTGCAGCTGAAAACTGTATTGCCCTGGAGCACTCCAGCCAGGTTGCGATCACGTGAGGTTACAGGGCTCAGAGTGGGTTCCTACTTGTAGTTTTGTTGTGTCCCTTTCATCTTCTATGCAAAACCATTAGCTTTAGCTTTTGATTCATTCAAAGGAAAATATTAATAGAGAAAAATAATCACATGTTCTAAACAGTTTCACTCTGTGTATCCACTGAGGGTGCTCATTGCAGTGAAGTTTATAAAATTTGTCATTTTCAGTTGATTTGACAAAACTTACGTATTTGCCGATTTTGTGGAAAAATAGGAAATGTCTTGTTCCAAATCAACCTTTGATCCATCTTGCTTAATACTGCCTTCAATGATTGACAGCAAGCTTCCAAGGTTTCAAGGCCTTCTCCAGAGCTGCTCGGGGTGTCTAAATCTTAATCTTTTGCATATAAGATTAGTAGCTGTGCAACTAAGCTACTCTTTTCTCCTAATGAAATGCTACTAAAATATTGGTAAATACAATGTAGCCCACTAAAGTATGATAAGTATAATTCCTGCTGCTATCTGATCAGGAACGTTACTTTTTGTTATGGGGAAGTACATCAGAAGTTGACTGCATATTAACTACATAAATAAAAGCAAGTCTCACAGCAGTACCTTTCAAAGCAGCGGTTGCCAACTGGTGGGCCGTGAGAAAATTTTGGTGGCCCACAGAGAAATCTCACCCCCAGAGCACCCCCCCAAAGCAATTAATCCAGGCTGCACAGAAACACAAGGCTGCACAGCCCACATGGCCCGCGGGAACCCTCCCCGCCCACTCACTCTTTACCCAGCAAGCTTGCCTGCTAATAAATTGCTACTTTTCCTTTTTCTGACCATCATCTGTTCTGCTGTGCCAAGAGATTTAGATTAGCTAGGAAGCAGGAAATAGTTGGATTTCTTGCTTTCTAGCTAGTTTTTAGACCTTCGGCTCTGCTTTTAAGCACAGCCAAACCTCCCTTAGGACTGAAGGTTTTATATTCAGTGCAGACTCATGGCAAGCAAATTTGAGAGACTGAGCCACTGGCAGATAGATGGATCACTGAATGATTCTGTGAGCAACTCAATCTGCCTGCCTGCTTTGCCTGATTTTGGGTAAAAGTTGTTCTTTTTTATAAAAAATTCAATATTTATACAAATGTTTATAATATTTACATACAGCCATGCTCAGCCAGTCACATGACCACCAAGCCACACCCACAAATTAGGCCATGCCCACAGAACAAGGTGGTCCCTGAGATTTAAAATTATGAGTTTGGTGGTCCCTGTGGTCCAAAAGGTTGGTGACCCCTGTTTTAGAGTACTATCTTTTTTAAAGGGAGAGGAATCATATAACAGTGAAACAGATTCTTATAATTATGGAATTAAGGCTTTCAAAGCATCAAATTTACTATGTAGATCACCTATGATAAATTTAAGGACTCTGCTTCCAACTAATAAATTTGTTGCAGGATCCATCTGCTTTAGTCACTAGGACCAAAATTTTATTCTTTCAAGCTTTTGAACTTGTGCTGGTGTCCATCATCAGGGAACTTCTCTCTCTCTCCAGAAGAGGTGCACTAGACTGTTCTTTGTGTTGTATTTATATGGTTCCTGGTTGTGTATAGCTTTTAGTTGTTAATTAGGATGTTGACGGTGCCCAGTGCATTCTGTCTGGAAAGAGATAAATTCCCTAAAGATGGGTTCTAGCATGAGCATGAAAGCTTGGAAGAACCAACCTTTGGTCCTGGTGATCAGCTCAGATTGGATTCTGTAATAAAGTTTGTTCATCCAGTCCATTTAAGAGCAAAGCTATTTTTCCTCAAATGCAGTAATATTTGAAATAGCACTGTTCAATGGCATAATCTAGATGGGGTTGTTGACTTTGAAAGAGAGTATTCAAACTAGTGATTTAATAGACTTACGAAGCAGAAAGGTACAACTCTGCTTTTGGCATCTATTTTTTACAATATTTTGTTGTTTCATCATTTATTGCACTAACCATCTTTGATGACTTCATCTTGAAAGGGAAATAAAAACAATGAATGTTCATCAGACAGGTGTTCAATGAACCAGGACAGTAAATATATAACATATATGCAGCAGATGGGTTGGTGGGAGTTTTCTTTCAGACTATAGATGGTGCTTGCCATTTCAAAAATCACTTTGTAGACAATTCAGTAATGCTGACAGTCATCAACAAAGGTAACCTATCAACCCCTACAAAATATTACCACCTATTATAGTATGTAATAATATATATTCTGAGGACCATTGGGAATCTAATTAAGCAGTGTGTCCCACTTCAAACTTAGAAAATTCTTCCAACAATTTTTTCTTTCCCAAACTGTAATCTGAAAGTCATATATGTCTTCTACATCCCCATTTGTGAGTGATACCTCAAACATTTCAGTAAATGAAGAACTTCTTATTTCTCTTATACTTGAGAGGAGTGCCCAAGAAGTAGAGAAGTAATTTTGTTTATAATTTTTTGCCTAAATAGAATCCCCAATGGCAGGAGAGAACCCAAACAGACTGTAGAATTAAAATCAGTAGCATTTGAATTGTTAATTTGAATTGTTTATTTAATTTTAATCATCGTAGCATAGCTAGTCAAGTTCCCTTCTCAGGGTAAATGTACTTCCCCTATACAGCCTGTAATACAGAATGAGTTCATAATGTTCTGAGTGGCAAAGCATGTCTTCCATTGTCTCAACCTTCATAAATATGTCACCGAATTGAGGTCTCCCTAACAAGAAATGAAAGTCTATAGCTAGAAAGCAAGAAGAGCTGAAAGAGAGACTGTCCTGCATGCCACATCAAATATTGACTTTCAAATATTGACAGCACTACTTTCATGGAGAAAACCAGCATAGTTAAAAAGATTCCACATACCTATTTCTGGTTCACTGACCTCCTCCAGGTTTCACATAACTGAACCTTGATCCTCTCACTGTTCTTCTTCACTACAAAGGAACTGAAACTTCCAGAGACTTTAATCCAACACTCTTTTTAGTACTCTCATGGTTAGGAATGTTGACTAAGTACATTCCAGTGAATCGCATGCCATCCTGTTACCTGCCTCTTAGTTTCAGGTCACAATAGCACTCCGGCCCCAGGTAATTTGGAGAAAGAGAGGTTTTAAACAAACAGTGAAACACTGAACAAACTATGTTCCTTAAATGGGTGAGGAACTTCAATAAACTTCCTCTCCACCTGTTCATTTCTTCCGCTCAGGATACAAGAAAATTAGTATTTTCAATTTTGAACAGTGATTTACATCTGTTGCTCTTACTTACAACTATAGGATGCCACTGAACAGGGATGTCTCTCTCCTCACTTGGTAAGTTGATTTAATACTGTGCTTTTATTTAGAAGAGTGCTGTGGCCATTTCCCCATGCCAGAAAACAAAAGTAAACTGTCAGTGAACATACTGCCAGCAACTTCCTGGAACAGATTCTCAAGAGTTAACCCTTGAGTTCATAAATCCAGTAAGTTTTAAGTAATTTCCTCCCTTTCCTTTGATGTTTATATCTGTGTTCTAAACACACACACATAAATACATGTCTCAATGGATTAATGAATTCCTTCACAGAATTGATTTTGTTTTACTGCCTCTTTTTAGTTTGTCTTATAATGACTTTGAAAATTCTGTTCTGATAAGTCTCTCGAACATTTTACAATGTTGTGTTTTTTTTTTTTAAAAAAAAACACATTAACACCAACACTGTCATAATATCACAATCAAATATCAGGAGCAATCTGTCTGGAAATTAGACTCTACCTAGAAAGAAAAACAATGGTAAAACACAACTGAATAGTTTGTTTTAAATTTTCTGTAGAACAAACAAGGAATTTACTGTAGTTTTTAGCAGCAGAAGGACTTGATGAACTTGCTTGCAAAATAAATTTTACTGAATGAATGCTGTATTAGATCACCACCTATTATCTTGCCACAAGGCTTAATTTTAGAAGAGAGATTTTGTTAATTAATTGAGCAAATATGTGTTTAAGTAGATATATGCAAGTGTACGTATAGTATATATTACATGTTTGTGTCCACTAATGGTTCATGTCCATATATGTGTACACTAAAGAGGAGTTTCACATGCACTCAGAGCTTAGAACCAAAAGAGCAAATTGAGCCCAAATATAAGTCCTAGATAAACCAGCATAAAACTGGAAACAGAATATTCCTTGTAAGCAGAGCAAAACCAGGTTCTCCATATATGCTTCTTAATCTCCATGGCATAAAAAAGTAAAATATGCAAAAGTCCTAAAGTTTCTATTCATAAATAGAAAAGGAGCAGATTGATTTCTGTCTGGGTATTCATTTACTTCATTTCTACACTGGTTTCATGGAAATAATAAAAAAAAACTATGCATGGTCCAGTTAAAAGCATACAAAACCTGAAGCACAAAAATTAGAAAAAGCAAAAAATACTCAATGTACCCTGGAAGACCTTTATTTTCATCTGTTACGAGAGGGAGGTTAAAGTTAGGGCTACTCTACTTTTCAATGGATGGTTGGTTCAGAGAGTTGGTGCTGCTACTATCAAGGAGATTTTAATAGATACATGTGATCCTGAGCTTGGTGCAAACCAGAGGTGGTATTCAGCAGGTTCTGAACAGTTCTGGAGAACTGGTAGTGGAAATTTTGAGTAGTTTGGAGAATTGGCAAATACCACCTCTGACTGGCCCCATCTATTCTCTGCCTTCCAAGTCCCAGCTGATCAGCTGCATCTTCTATTGTTTCCCTGCACAGGAGAACGGAGCTGGAAGGCAGGTTAGTGGGGTGGGGAGGGAATGGGAATTTTGCAGTATCCTTCCCGTCATGCCCACCAAGCCATACCACGCCCACCAAGCCACGCCCACAGAATCGATAGCAAAAAATGTTGAATCCCACCACTGGTACAAACCCAAAGAGGGCTTTGTAGGTTAACACATTGTATCCAGAACCTAACAGAAAACCAATATATGTTTGTGGCCCAAATGTATTTGTTCCATAACTAAGAGTCAGTCAAGAGACAGTAATTAATTTATAGACAACTTAATTTTAAATCAAATGAAGCTTCTGAGTGATCTTTAAAGACAGACCCATGTAGAACACATTGTAAGTGTAGACAAAAGCATAAAGAGGTACCACTGGAGCTCCCCAAATACACCAATGGACAATATTACCTCTGCCTTGCTGGACCTCAATTTTAGCCTGTTTTCTCCCACCTAGACCCTCACAACTCAAGTACTGGGATAGGACCTCACTAGCCTCGCCATCATTGACCAAGGTAGAAATGTAAAGCTGAGTATCATCATCATATTTATGAAATGAATAGATAGATGACCTCAAAAAAAGAGATCTCAAAAAGATGATCTCAAAAAGCTCAAAAATGATTCCCCCCCTCCATCATGACCTCTCATAGAACTGCAGTTTAGAAAGGTTATTGGAGAACCACTGGAACTAATACTATGGGCAGAGTGGATAAAAACCAATTATTATTTTTTTTTAAAAAAAAATCTGATTTTTAAAATTTAAATCTATTTTTTTTTAATTTTTATCAAATTTATTTTAATAAAATGCTTTTGGAGTAAACATCTATCTAAAAATATTTTTTAATCTTTAAAATACATTAATAATTTAGTTTATTCAGCATGAAATGGAGCTTTGTTATGTAGCATGAGGCTGTATATTCTGCAATATTTACATTTTTGGTAAAGTCATTCAATGAATCCAAGCTCTGCAAGCTGAACAGGAAACTAATAATAATGATTCTAACTACAAGCAAAAATGAGTCCTTACATTTAAAGAGCACCTGTCATTTCAGATCCATCATGGCACAGCCTGTTAGCGGGCATCCATTCACCTGCTGCTTGCCAAATCCCTCCCCTTGTTGTATCACCGCTGCATCACCAGCCGTCCCATTAAAGTGAATGGGACTGTCAGTGAGTCAACAGCAAGTCAGAGAAGCTGCTCCAGGACAGAGATGCCACTTGCTCTTTAATTTTTTTTTATTTAAATCGAGTTGATTTAAATCAAGCTTTTTTACTAGTGATTTAAATCACGGTTGAAATCATGAATGAAATTGGCTTGATTTAAATCAAATCCACCCTGACTCTGGGTAATGTGTATGGATAGCACTCTTATTTACTCCAGCTTTAACCTTTTCATGTACACGAACAGAAAAGGGGTGGAAGCTCTCCTCAGTTCTGCATAAAATGAATGGGATGTTGTGGGGAAAATGCCCACTTCAACAAAGAACCAAACATTTGTAGACAGAGGTAATAAAGTATTTTTCATTGCCACGTACAATTACAGAGATCACTGGGCTCTCAACAAAAGAATGCAAAAGATCTTCAAGCTAAATAAGGTTAGGGATTATATATCAAGCTCCCACAGTGGTGCGATTCAAAAATTGTTACTGTTAGGAATTTATGTCACCTAACAGGTATTTGGGTTAGAAATATACAAGCCAGAGTAGATATTTTAGTACTATGTCTTTAAGAGATTCCAAAAACTGCAGTTGGATGTGGTTTTTCAAATGGCCATAAGATGGAGCCAGAAACCTGGGTTGTTTAGCCTTAGTCTCAGAAGAGAGTGTGAGTGTATCTCTATTTCCTTCTGTTGGAAAGGATTGCCGTTCCTCCATTTCTTCTAATTGACTGATATTACTGGATTTGATGTAAGTCTGATAGTGAACTGTTTTTGACACTGGAATTTGTTATTGGATTATCCCTGGATTGAAAAAACTGACCGATTTACCTGTGAATGACTTTTGGACTGCCTATTTTGAACTTTGTTTAAACCTTTATTGAAAGTAAAACCCTACATTTACTGTACAGTGTAGCTGTGTGCTACATGTGTATTATTCAAACACTACTCTCTATACATCTCCCTGTATGCGCTCATTCTTCTAACGGAGAATTACCTCAACATTGGTTATGGGCCCAGGCCATATCAGGCTCAGATAACTGAGAGTTAGTGTGAATGCACAGTACTGTATACAGACAGCTGTTTACTGTTTAATTGTGGTTTACTATCCTGGTAAAGATGGCACAAGTCACTTCAACATGTCTATCACTGATAACCCAATTGGATGGAACAAACTGTTTCCTGGTCTATGAAATGCAGTCTACTGCTGTGTAAAGAAGGTTTATGGAATGTAGTTCAAATGTAAATGCTTGGGATCCAGCTAATGAGGATGATGCCAAGAAGCTTGCTGACTTTAAACAGAACAACGATCAAGCTCTTTGTATAATTGGACTAACACTGAGTGACCAGCAGCTAGTCCATATTCATGGAGAAGAGTCTGCTGCTAGGTGTTGGGAGAATTTGAAGAGGATTTATGTTCGTGACAGTGTAGGTGCACACATACAACTTACACGCAAACTGTTTAGAGCACGTCTTCTGAAAGGTGGAGATATGTTAGCTCATTTAAACTTCATGAAAAGAACTTTTCAAGAGCTCCATGAAAAGGAACCGATATTTTCAGAGCTGCATCAAGTTTACATCATTCTTTCCTCGTTGGATGAAAGTTATGATGATTATGTATCTTCACTGGAAGTCCTGCCCAGAGATAAATTGACATTGACTGAAATAACTGGAAGATTGTTAGAAGAAGCAAGAAGACGGCTGGATAGGGACCAACTGAGGAAGGAGCAACCACAAGAGGATTTATCTTCTACTGCCTATACTGTTAGGAAATGTTTTTCTTGTGGGGCTAGGGGACATATAGCTAGATTATGTAAGAAAGGAAAACAACAGAATATTGGCAAACACCAGAAGGCTAAGAAGAATGTTAGTTTAGCTATGTCTAGCAATTCAACTGTAAACCATGATTTGTGGGTTGTTGATAGTGGAGCATCACAGTGCATTACTAAAGATAGAAAAAGGTTTGTAAAGATGTCCACGAGTAAACAACATGTATCATTGGCAAATGGATGGAAGATTAAAGCATCAGGTAAAGGTACTGCATATTGTTCTTGTATAAACAAACATTTAACTATGTTATATGTACCTAAACTGAAATTTAATTTGTTATCAGTAAGGGCTTTAGTTAATCTTGGTTATGTAGTAACCTTTAGGGGAGATAACTATATAATAGAGAAAGAGGGTAAAAGTGTTACTGCTATTTTAAAAAGTGATTTATATGTAATACATGATGACTAGTTGAAGATGGCTAACTCAGTTTATAAAAATGTTAAGCATTTACTGCATAGACATCTAGGGCACATTAATTTCAAAATGCTCAAACAAACTGTTGAATTGTCAGAGGGAGTAAAATTGAAACCCTGTAGCAAGCATTTACACTGTAATGCTTGTAGTCAAGAAAAAAGTAAGCTTACTCCAGCAAACAGACTAAATGGGTTTAAGACCAAAGAACCTTTAGAAGTTGTTTTTGCTGACATAATTGGTCCT